AGCTCAAGTGGTAGAGCGCTCGCCTTGAGCTGAGGAGCTGAGGGACAGCGCCCAGGCCCAGAGTTCAAGCCCTATGACCGACCAAAAAAAAAAACCAAACTGGGATTGCTGTTTTTCCTGGGTAAGTGAGGAGTGCTCCCCTTTTGTTCAGCCTTTTGTCAATTGGCTTCACACCACTTTCCCCTTCACCCAGCCGTTATCTACCCTGTGTTCAGCTCAGGTCATGGAAAAGCTGGTAAGCCTGGTACCTCGTAGGAGAAAACAGTAGCAGCTTCCCTCCTCGTCTGTCCTTTTTAGAGAGCCAAGGGAGTCTAAAATGTCCAATGCAGGTAGGAACTGCTCAGACAGCTGTCTAGGCCTCAACAAACAAGCCTCTGCCCGGTCACTGTTGTTAGATTCAGAATGAGCGATTTAAAGAAGGGCCTGAGAGTTGATGTCTTACAGAGATGAAAAGTAAACAGCAACCAGTCAAGAGGAAAATTGACATCTAACTCATCTTCTCTAATCTATTCGACTCTGTACTTAGACTAAGATTTGATGATATATGCCAGTAATCTCAGCTATTCAGGAGGCAGAAGCAGGAGAATCACAAGTTTGAGACCAGCCTAGACTACATAGCCAGACTCCATCTGTTGGGGGGGAGAGGTGCGAGAGGGGGGAGTAAGAGAGAGAATAACAGTGGCATACAGCCCTGGCAGTCATGGAACATCCCCTTAACACCCTCCTGTCACGCACTGTTGGAAGTTAAGGAGAGTCAAGGGCAATAGTGGGCTGATTAAGATTTGACTTATGGGTCCTAATGAAGAAAAGTGAGTTGGGACTATTTAGCTTAGATTGAGATCTAGAAGGGTGGGGACTTATTTTCTTTGAGCCTAAAAGAAAGGTGATTTGGGGGCTGGGAAGGTGCTCAATGGTAGAGTGCTTGCCTTGTATGTATGATGATGCCCTGGCTTCAATTCTTCAGCACCACATAAGCAGACAGCTGGAAGTGGTGCTATGGCTCAAGTGGTAGAGCACTAGCCTTGAGCTGAAGAGCTGAGGGACAGCGCCCAGGCCCAGAGTTCAGGACCCACAACCGACCAAAAAGAAAAAAGGTGGTTTGGGGGAATATGGCTGCCATTTTTTCCCCCTTGTATTGTAGGCAGACCAAGAAGAACCAGGAATTATATGAGTAGGATGGAAATTAGTCCACATATATTTAGTGTTTTGACTGCTGACTGTAGGTGCTCTCGATATAGAGAAGTCCAGACTTGGGCCAGCCAGCCTGGTACTGAATCCTGGTTTCTGTGCTTGGTAGCTTTGGGACCTTGACATACTGCTTTTCCTCTAAGCCTTAGTAATCTCATCTGTAAAATGGGGATTACATACCCACTCCTCCTGGGCTTCTTTTTTTTGTATGTCCTAGCTTGAACTCTGTCCCTGGCCATGCCCCTGAACTTTTGTTCTCAAGGCTGGTAGTCTACCACTTGAGCCACAGCTCCACTTTCAGCTTTTTGGTAGAGATGAGAATCTCATAGGCTTTACTGCCCAAGTTGGCTTGGAACTGTGATTTTCAGATCTCAGCTTCCTGAGTAACTAGAATTACCAGCATCTGGCTTTATATGAAATTTTAAAAAAAGAGTTAATACAGGTAAAGTGGCTTGAACAGTGGCTTATATTGTGATAGAGTTAGCTCGCTCAGTGGAGAGGATCATAGGGTCACCTGGGCCACCACTTCATTTACAGATAAGGAAACAGGCATAAGAGACAAAACAAATAAGAAAATCAAGATGAAACCTCTAGTCTAGAGCTGTTGCCACGGCTTCTTGCTATGTTTTACAAGTACATGTTGCGTCAACATTTCCTTTATGAGGAAATGAGCAAAGCTCATAGCTTCCTTTCCCTCCTTCTCAGAGCCAGTACTTCCTAAGTACATCATCAGTGTGCCCGCACCGTGCTAAATACCAATACATATGACCTAATTTAATCTTTATAGCCACCTGGGAAGTAGGTGCCACTGTTGTCCCCCAAGATATGGCACCTGAGGCTCAGAAAGTTTCACTTGCTTGCCCAAGGCAACAGCTTGCAAGATACAGCCTGGAGGATGAAAGCACAGCCTGACTCCAGAGCCTGTGCTCTTAACCACACTACTGATTTTCCTTGCAAAGTTTCCATGGGATGTAGACATGCTAAATAAAGCCCACCTTTATTACCTACCACGTGGCTGCAAAAGCCACTTGGCCCAGCTTAAGGCTTGGAGTCATTTCCTACCTTTACAACTGAGTCTCTCATATGGTCCTTATTTCCAACACAGTGTGGTTACACTAAAACCAACTACAAAAAAGACTCTCCCTGATCAAGACAATGAAAGCTGCGTGTCAGAGAGCAGACCAAGAGAAGTAAGGACCAGAGCTTTTGTGCAACAGGGACCATTGGGGATTATCAGAGATCTGAGAGAAGTCAGGTCAAATATCAGACTTCCCACCTTTACTGGTAGCTGCTTACCTTTCATTTCTGTGAGATTCTATTATAGCTTCGGACTCCCCTCTTCAGAAAAAGATGTAAGCTCACATACCCCCCAGAAAAGCATTTGGCGGGGGTTGACTTCAGGGTTCATGATCTCACAGTTCAAGAGCCACTGAACTGCTGAGCACCAATGGCCCATGCCTATAATCCTAGCTAATCTGGAGGCTGACAGCTGAGAATTGTGTTTAGAGCCAGCCTGGGGAGACAGATCCATGAGACTCTCATCTCCAAACAACCAGTAAAAAGCTGGAAGTGGAGATGTGGCTCAACTGGTCTTGAATTCATTCCCTGGTAGAGAATTTCATAGCATACTTCGGATAAAATGTCTTGTGTTCAAATCCTTGTCTCATAGTAGTTATGCAGCAAGTTACTTGATGTCTTGTGGCTTAACTATAAAATAGGGAGCTGGGTGCTGGTGGCTCATGCCTGTAATCCTAACTACTGAAGAGGCTGAGCTCTGAGGATCATGGTTCAAAGCCAGCTGGGCAGGAAAGTCCGTGAGACTCTTATCTTCAGTTAACTGCCAGGAAACCAGAAGTGGGTGCTTGTGGCTCAAAGTGATGGAACACTAGCCCTGAGTGAAAAAGCTCAGGTCAGAGACCAGGCCCTGAGTTCAAGCCCCACAACTGACAAATAAATAAAATATGGAAAGTAAAGGTATAGGATTGCTGCTAACATGTAATTTGCCTAATACATGCTTAATTCTTCAGAGCATTAACTACCAGAAGTACTAATATTGCTCCTTGGAGCTTTGTTCATTCAGTAAATGTTTATGGACAGAGTGAATGAATAATCCCAATTGAGATGCCAAGCCTTAGATAGAACATCCAACAGATGGGCTGTAGTAATGCCAGCATATTGATCTGTTCAACCCTGAGGGTGCCAAAGCCCCAGCTGGTTTCTTGTGGTTCAAGCAGCAGCATCTGCTATGTAGCATACAAATATGCATTCCATACAAATGAGATGTCAGCCGGGAGGTCATAGGGATCAGGTAGGCAGTCCAGAGTCCATGTCCAGAATTCTGTGGATGGAGGCAAAAAAAAAAGGAATCTGGTGGTACTGGCTTGAACTCAGGGTATGGGCTCTGTCCACTAATTAATTGCTCAAAGCAGGCTCTACCATTTGAGCTACTTTTGGCCCTTTTTTTTTCTTTTGCCAATCCTGGGTCTTTAACTCAGGGCCTGGGCACTGTCCCTGAGCTGCCTTGCTCAAGGCTAGCACTCTACTGCTTGTGCCAAAACGCCACTTCCAGCTTTTTCTGTTTATGTGGTACTGAGGAGTCAAACCCAGGGTTTCATGAATGCTAGGCAAGCACTCTACCACTAAGCCACATTCCCAGACTTACTTTTGGCTTTTTGGTGGTTAATTGGAGATAAGAGTCTCAGGAACTTTACTGCCCAGGCTGGTTTCAAACCTCAGTCTCGGCCTCCTGAGTAGCTAGAATTACGTTCATGAGTCACCAATACCCAGCAAAAGAAAATTTAACAAGTTGACTGAGAACAGAGGTTATGAGCTTTTTTGTAGGCTTCATGAGTGTGGAGGTCTAAAGCTGGAGGAGGCTTCATGCTACTGGAGGTTCCCGAGAACCCAATGAGTCACTCTGGGAGGATCTGTGGACAATCCTCAGGACTATATGCTGGAGAAACCAGGAACAGACTGGAGTCTGAAGTACTGCCGAGGCAATAGAGATGAAGCAGATTGTATAAGTCTTTCAGGAGTAAGTTTTTCAGGGTGTGAGTGCTAGGAAGAGATAGTATCCAGGCTTCAGGAACCATAACAGGACCCAGCCTTACCTGCCAGGTGAACTCTGCAGCATGAGAGGAAGTTATCAGAGACTTTATGAGGGAAGTACATTTAGGTTTATACTGTTTTCTAAAAGTCACTTTCAAAGCCAGGTAGAAACAGACAAGAATTTATCCAAGAACATAGGAGACTCTGATAGTTGAAGGATGAGAAGTGACAGTTGCCTGAAATTGATAGCTGAGTTGTAAGGGAAAAGGACTGAAAGATGACACCACTGCTTCTGTGTGGATGGAGGTGTCTGTCATTCTTGGGACAGAGATAATTGGGAAAGTGGAACACTTCTGGGGAGCAAGGAGACATTGTATATTCCATTTGTGTTACACATGGGGTGTTCCCTGAGAATAACAAGCAATGGCAGTGGTAGATGGGGCTGGGAACAGGAGATATGTGGTCAGCAGCATGTTTGGCTGTCTGTCTCTAATCAGGCTCCCTTGTGAGGGGAGCAAACTTAAAAGTGAGATTTGATCAATGAATTCTTCCTCTACAATTAATTTGATTGGCATACTTCTGTGCTCATCTTTTAAAATTTCTAACTATATATAATATATATATATATATCCTCAACACTTCATAAAAACTAACATAGTTCTCTATTTTGAAGAATATGCCTTTGTGTTCTTAGCTGGCCTCATTAACTGCATGCACAAGGAGGAAGCTGTGTAACTTTTTATGTGACACTCCATTTTCCTCAGATTTGTGACCCAGAAGGAAATCTCTGACATCAGCTGTGGCTCTCAGTGCTGGCCAGAAGCCAACTTCATGTCTGAGTGCATGAACAACAGTTTGCCATGGAGAGCTTGGGGCTGCAGACGGTGACCCTCAGTGATGGGACGACTGCCTATGTCCAACAAGCTGTCAAAGGTGAGGATTTCCAGGGGATCCTGGAAAATCAAAATCCTACCCCTCAGCCTTTGGAGTGTCTCCCTTGTGCATGAGAACCCTGCATGGTACTTGATGAAAAGGGAATTCTAAAATAAAATGCCAGGCTGGGAAGTTGGCTCAGTGGTAGAGTGCTTTCCTCACATGCATGAGGCCCTGGGTTCAATTCCTCAGTACCACATAAGCAGAAAAAAGCCAGAGGTAGCGCTGTGGCTCAAGTGGTAGGGCATGAGCCTTTAGTGCTGAGGGACAGCGCCCAGGCCCAGAGTTCAGCCCCCATGACAGACAAAAATAAATAAATAAATAAAAATAAAATAAAATGCCATCCAGGAAAACTAGAAAAGCAGACTACCCTAGCCAAGACCTCTCAACAGCTCAATTCCTTCCATGCAGTGAATAGTTCATAAATATATCTGGAGTGGACGAACACAGTATTAGTTGTGGCTTCCCGCTTTTCAGATAGTCTCTGACTAGTTTCTCAGTGCTTCATCTTAATTCAAGCATGGGGCTGGGAAGGTGGCTCAGTGGTAGAGCACTTGCCTTGCATGCTCAAGGCCCTGGGTTCGATTCCTCAGCACCACATAAGCAAAAAGAAAAAAGCTGGAAGTGGCACTGTGGCTCAAGTGGTAGAGCACTAGCCTTGAGCTGAAGAGCTGAGGGACAACGTCTAGGCCCAGAGTTCAGGCCCCACGACAGGACCCAAAAAAAAAAAAAAAGATTTCACACCTTAATTCAAGCATGTTTATGTACTCAGACGATGTTTTGAGTATCTACCTACATAAGATATTCCTCTAGGTTCAGAATGGGCACTTAAAAGCATGAGCTCTCTGCGCAGAGAGCTCATGCTTTTAAGTTTCAGGCACCCATGGATGCCAGAAATAAACATATGGGGTGCACAATTAAATTTGAATTGCAGACAAAGTGCAATTTATATTGCAGATAAAGAAACAACAACAGGTAAACAGTAGGTATGTCCCAAAAATGGCATGGGATACACAGGTATAAAATACAATTAAATCCTGAAAAAAAATTCAAATAACAAATACCCTATACCTTATCCAAAATGCTTGCAACTGGTTATATTTCAGATTTGGAAGACTTTGTATTTGGAATATTTGTATAGTCTTAACCCGCTGAACATTCCTAATCTGAAATCCACTTAGATTTCAGAGCATTTCAGACTTGAGGCTTTGAGATTTAAGATGCAATTTGTCATTTATATGAAATTCAGACTTACCTGGGAATCTTGCATTTTATCTAGCAACTCTACTTCCACCTCAAGGACCTTCAAATCAAGATAGGGGTAGGAGAGCTAGAAAAGGGTGTTGTTGAGAGCTGGGCCTGCAAACAAGGACACTCCTTTTTAATATTTCGTTCCTGCCTGCCTTTTCTCTTCCGTCTCTCCCTCCCTTCCCCCCTTTCTCCCTTCTTCACTTCTTCCCTTCCTCCTTTCTTCATTCTCTCCCTCCCTCCTTCCCTCCTTCCTTATGTTGGTCCTGAGGTTGGAACTCAGGGCCTAAGCACTGTCTCTTAGCTTTTTGTTCAAGGATGGTGCTCTACCATTTAAGACACAATGCCACTTCTGGGATATTATTGGTGGTTAATTAGAGATAAGAGGCTCATAGACTCTCCTGACCAGGCTGGCTTCAAACCTTGATACTCAGATCTCAGCCTCCTGAGTAAACAGACATGAGTCACCACTGCCCGTCCGTCCCTCCCTCCCTCCTTCTTCCTTCCTTCCTTCCTTCCTTCCTTCCTTCCTTCCTTCCTTCCTGTTTTGGAGCTAACATATGTCTGTAACACAAGGAGGTTTCATTGTGATATGTACATACATGCACACAGTGTCCTTTGAACAAATTTAGATCTCCACTATGTGTCCATTGCTCTTCTCCTCCTCCCCCCTACCCTTTTTCAAATAGCATTTGGTGGGTTTCATTATGCTATATTCATATAAAGACTCATCCTTTCTTACCTGCATTCTCAGTCATGGCTAATGGTATTCCTGTGTTCCCTGGACAACACTGGGCAAAAGCTGCCTCATTCTTACTCTTTTTTAAATTTTATTTTATTGTAAAGATGCTGTACAGAGGGATTACAGTTACATGAGTAATGAGTACATTTCTTGTCAAGCCTTGTTACCCCCTCCTCATTCTTACTCTTAATTTGACCTTTTCAGGATTCTATGAGCATCATTATCTTTCTGACCACATCGTCATTGCAGCATTGCCCTCCTTCAATCAAATACATTTCCAAAGTAAATTTCTATTCTAAGTTTACAAATGAGGTGTTTATTGATTTCATTTTAAATTGTCTGTTTCCCAATAATAATTAATCTTTTAATTTCATTAGTGAGCTCTTTCCATATTTATGGGGGACTTCTGGGAAAGTTCTTGTCATGAGCTGATTGTATTGTTTTATTCTTTTTTTTTTCCTTGTCAGTCATAGGGCTTGAACTCTGGGCCCAGGCACTGTCCCTCAGCTCTTCAGCTTAAGGCTAATGCTCTACCACTTGAGCCACAGCACCACTTCCAGTTTTCTGAGTGGTTTATTGGAGATAAGAGAATCTCACAGAGCCAGGCGCTGTTGGCTCACGCCTGTAATCCTAGCCACTCTGGAGGCTGAGATCTGAGGATCACGGTTCAAAGCCAGCCCAGGCAGGAAAGTCCGTGAAACTCTTATCTCCAATAAACCACTCAGAAAAACTCTTAAGTGGCCCTGTAGCTCAAGAGTAGAGCGCTAACCTTGAGCTGAAGAGCTGAGGGACAGCGCTCAGGCCAGAGTTCAAACCCCACAACTGACCAATAAAAAAAGAGTCTCATGGACTTTTGTGCTGGGGCTGGCTTTGAACTAAGATCCTCAGATCTCAGCCTCCTGAGTAGTTAGGATTACAGGCGTGAGCTACCAGCGCCTGGCTTTGTTTTATTCTTTTGAGAATAGCTTTTCTCTAAAACACTTCAGAAACTGAAGCCCTCAGATTTTCCAGCACAGGTCTTGCATATTGCCACAGTGAGAGAGAAGGGAATATTTTGGTTTCATTAGTTGGTGTTATATCTGAATTTCTGCCCTTTTGGTTCTTTTTTGATTTAGGGCATTGTTTTCCATTGGATTGAGTCTAAGCGCAACTTGATGCTAAGTTGAAGTTTGCTGGGCATAGGTAGAATAATAAGGAAGTTGCCCCTCAGTAATGAACAGGAAAGGGATCTGTTGGAGTAGAAGTTTCCTGCATGGCAGGATTTCTTTGCTCTCAGTTCCATTAGGCCTGGATCTAGGAGGAAGGAAGCCAAAGAGCAGCAAATGTTATCTGTGCTTAGACCATAGGCTAGTGGCCTCTACTAAAAACAAGTAGGTCGAGGCTGGGAAGGTGGTAGAGCTCTTGCCTTGCATGCATGAGGCCCTGGGTTCAATTCCTCAGCACCACATAAGCAAAAAGAAAAAAGCCGGAAGTGGTGCTGTGGCTCAAGTGGTAGAGTGCTAGCCTTGAACTGAAGAGCTGAGGGACAGCGCCCAGGCCCAGAGTTCAGGCCCCATGACCTGACCCAAAAAACAAACAAACAAACAAGCAGGTGTCTCTTAGTGCTCTTTGGGGCCTGGCCCATTTCTGTCTGCTTCTATCTCCACAGGAGAGAAGCTGCTTGAAGGACAAGTGATCCAGCTCGAGGATGGAACTACTGCATACATTCACCAGGTGACCATACAGAAAGGTGAGGGTACTCCAGCACTCTCCTGTCATGGGAGGTGCACCTAGCAGCCCCCACGGAGGACCCTTCCATGGCACTGCGTTCCAGAGAAAGGCTGGCATTGCTCTTGTTACAGAATCTCTCTCCTTTGAGGATGGACAGCCTGTGCAGCTGGAAGATGGCAGCGTGGCCTATATACACCGCACACCCAAAGGTAGGGTCAGAGTCATCAGAGATGACAGAGAAGAGAACACAGCACTGGCAGTGCACTGGTATACTCCATCATGGGTGCCACCATCCCCAAGGCACATGCTTCCTCACCTGTACAGAAGCCTTGCCTACCTTCCCTGGAACAGACCCTGGGAGCAGTTTCCTATACCTCTAAGGAGGTAGGGGTCCATATTGGCCTCTATGGTGGCTTTGGCTGCAGCATAGCTACAAAGTCTTAGGGCTTTAAATATAACCTGAGATGTCACCTAAGATGAGGAGAAATAATTTTTGTTGTTGTTGTTGTTGTTGGTCGTTGGGCTTGAACTCTGGGCTTGGGCACTGTCCCTGCGCTCTTCAGTTCGAGACGAGCACTCTATCACTTGAGCTACAGTGTCACTTCTGGTTTTCTAGTGGTTTATTGGCAGTAAGAGTCTCACGGACTTTCCTGCCTGGGCTGGCTTTGAACCGTGATCCTCAGATCTCAGCCTCCTGAGTAGATAGGATTACAGGCATGAGCCACCGATGCCCAGCTCAGAAGAAATTCAAAAATGAATCTCCTGCTGGGCACCAGTGGCTCACTCACACCTGTTATCCTAGCTACCCAAGAGTCTGAAATCCAACAGTCATGTTTTGAAGCTAGTCTGAGCAGAAAAGTCCATCAACCTCCATCTGCAAAATAACTAGCCCAAAAGCAGTCCTAGTGGTACAACACAGTCAGCAAGTGGTAGCTGAGCAAGCAAAGCAAGTAGGCTAAGTGAACATGAAATACTGAGTTCAAACCCCTGTACTAGGCTGGGAAGAGCGCTTGCCTTGCATGCCTGAGGCCCTGGGTTCGATTCCTCAGCACCACATAAGAAAAAAGAAAAAAGCCGGAAGTGGCGCTGTGGCTCAAGTGGTAGAGTGCTAGCCTTGAGCTGAAGAGCTGAGGGACAGCGCCCAGGCCCAAAGTTCAGGCCCACGACCGGACCAAAAAAAAAAGAAAAAAGAAACAAACCCCTGTACTGAAAAAAAAAGCTTTTAATATACTATTGAATAACAATTTAGTCCTACAGATAGCTTCTTGGTTTGTTGTTTTTTTTTTTTCCTTGTTGGTTGTGGGGCTTGAATTCTGGGCCTGGGTGCGGTCCCTGAGCTCAAGGCTACTGCTCCACCACTTTCAGCCACCGAGCCACTTCTGTTTTTCTGGTAGTTAATTGGAGATAAGAGTTTCACAGAGTTTCCTGTCCAGGCTGGCTTTGAACTGCAATCCTCAGATCTCAGCCTCATGAGTAGCTAGGATGACAGGTGTGAGCCACCGGCACCCGGGGCTTACAGGTAGATTCTTGGATAACTGCTACACATCAAGAATTTTGGTTCAGAGCATACTACAGAGAACAAACACAGGCCCACAGTCTAGTTGGGGAAGAAGAGTGAAGTAAGCCATCCCTGACATAAGCTAGTTCTGAGTTTTGAAACTGGTTTCAAACTCTCAGGGAGAGCTTCTCTGAGGAGGTGCTGCTAGATCTGAGAGCTGAAGGGTAGATGGACTTAGGTGACGTAGCTAGGGATAGAGGGACCAGCCAGACAGGACCAGCCTATGCTGACATGGAGCTGATGGGGAAAGAAAGAATGGCACATTCAAGGAACTGCTGGGACTAGAAGACTTGGAGAGAAGATTGAGGGGGTAGAAGGAGGCTGAAATAAAAAATACAGGATCAGAGTGCTCTGGCCTTGTCAGGATAGGGTTTGGGTCTTTATAGCCTAAGCGAAGCATTTAGACTATTCAGGAAGCTGGGTGACCTATGCATCTTGTGAAAGTCCCTATGGGTGTTACTTGGAAGAGCTAAGAAGGGGTGAGGGGCAAATGATCAGGAAGCCATTGAGATTGTCTTAAGCCAAGATGATGATGGCCTCCTATCAATTTCTCAAAGAAATTGCAACTCTCAATCAGTGGCCAAGGTCATCATAGGAGAGGCCTTCCCAGAAGGAGAGCCAGCAAAAGGGGTGAGAGCCAGGCAAATTCAAAATCATTTCCAAGTTAAAGCCAGAGTCCTAGATGGATTGCTTCTTCTTGTGTGGCATGGGCTAACCATTGTGTTCCCTGCAGAGGGCTATGACCCCAGCGCCCTGGAAGCTGTCCAGCTGGAAGATGGCTCCACTGCCTATATTCACCACCCTGTCACTGTGCCATCAGACAGCACCATCCTGGCCGTGCAGACAGAGGTGGGCTTGGAGGACCTGGCCACAGAGGATGATGAGGGCTTCAGCACAGACACGGTAGTAGCCCTGGAGCAGTATGCAAGCAAAGTGAGCATGCAGAGCCTACCGCTGCCCATCAGTCAGGACGGTAGGGCTTCTTTGCCCTGCCAAAGACAAGTACTGTCCTGTGCTTGGGCCACTCCCTCGGCTCCTCCACCCCAGCTCCCTGACTTGTGTCTCACATGTCCATGTTGAAAGTGTACAGCAGAGCCTGGCCAGGGCTACTCACAGCTGTTGACACTTATCCTTGTTTATGCTGTCTTGGCAGAAGAAAGGCTGTAGGAACAGCAGCACCAATGTGATGGGAAGTTAGGCCCAGCCTCACTTTGTATTAAGCCTCTGTGTTCTTTGGGAAAGCCCCTGCCAATGTCTTTTATTAATTTTCTTATCCACTGAAGTCAAATGTTCTTATATTTGTTGCTTCTCTCTGACTCATTTAGTCATTTGGAAAAGTAATTCAGTAGGCAGAGAACTGGACATGTGTAACAGAGTAGCTAAGATTCTTAGAGCATGAGACCCACAGTATCTCCACTGGAAAGGAGAATGGTTCCAGGTCTCCGCTAAGCTATAGTCCTGCCTGAGTGAGGACAGGAGCAGAGAGACCCAGCAGTTTTCCAAATCAAAGTAATCCACCCTGGGCTGGCTGGCCTGTAGAGCTTCAGAGTGGATGGATGTGGCAGAGCTTACCCAAAGTTAGGCAGTTCCTTTTATAAAGCAGGAGTGAATATATGGTAGAGAAAAAGAAGAAATCTTTGTGTCTTTTCAAAATGAAGCATAGGTCCCAATGCCAGTGGCTCATGCCTATTACCCTAGTTATGCAGGAGGCTGAAATTGGGATCATAATTCCAGGCCAGCCTGGGCACAAAGCTCATGAGATTTCAATGGAAAGGAAGTGTAAATAGTAGGATTGAGGTCCAGGCCAGGCTGGGCAAAAAGCAAGAACCTGTTATACAAATAACCAGAGCCAAAAGGGCTGGGGGTATAGCTCAAGTGGTAGAGCGCCTACATAGCAAGTATGAAGCCCTGAGTTTAAACCCTTGTGCCACTCGAGGGAAAAAGGTGCATGAAACTTTATGCAGCAGGCCAGTTTGGATTATGCCCACTCCTGCCCCTGTTCCCTGAGGAATTATAGAGACCAACTTCTGACAGGAAGAGAACTGGACTTTACTTAAATCATGATCTCTAGTTGGGTGTAATGGCCCACACTTATATAATAACACACAAGAGGCTGAGTTAGAGAGATAATGAATTCACTGCTAGCCTGAGCTACATAGCTAGGCCCTGTCTTAGAAAAATAAAGAGATGAATCATGAGCTCTGAGATCTGTGCTGGCCCTGCCACAGCCTAGTCCAACCTTGGCTGAGCCACTCCCTCCCAGACCTGAGCTATTCTGTGGGAGCAGACTGGAGGAGCTGAAATTGCTTCTGGCCACAATGACTTTTTTTTTTTTGCCAGTTCTGGGGCTTGAACTCAAGGCCTAGGTGCTGTCCCTGAGCTTCTTTTGCTCAAGGTTAGCACTCTACCACTTGAGCCACAGTGCCACTGCCAACTTTTTTTTGGGGGGGGGTTCCGGTCATGGCCTGAACTCTGGGCCTGGGCGCTGTCCCTCAGCTCTTCAGCTCAAGGCTAACACTCTACCACTTGAGCCACAGCGCCACTTCCGGCTTTTTTTTTCTGCTTATGTGGTGCTGAGGAATCGAACCCAGGGCCTCAGGCATGCAAGGCAAGCGCTCTACCACTGAGCCACCTTCCCAGCCCCTACTTCCAACTTGTTCTGAGTAGTTTATTGGAGATAAGAGTCCCACAGACTTTTCTGCCCCAGCTGGCTGTGAACCACGATCCTCAGATCTTAGCTCCTAAGTAGCTAGGATTAGTTGTGAGCCACTAGCACCCAGCCCACAATGACCTCTTGATTTCCTCGATTACCTTGGGAACTGGGAGACATTGGAATGTAATATGAGTGTCTGTGGGTCAGCCTGTACTGCCACCTGTAGCCCTCCCTCTCTACCACCAGCTGCTTCAGTGTCTGAAATTTTGCCAGCTGCTTGAGCCCCTGACTCAGAGCCTGAGTGAATGGACCTTAGCCTTTTACTCTCACTATTACTTCCAGAACTGTTTCAGAAGCTTCTAGAGAGAACACTGTGATTCCACAGCACCCAAGAAACACTGATTAAGGGAGTCCTCCCAGTACCTTGCCTAGAAAAGCTAGAGTAGGAAGGGCTCCCTGTGGCCAGAGGTTCTAGGAGTGTCACCTCCAGTGTTGTCTTCAGGAAAGAAGACTGAAGAATCTCTCCATTCTCTGGGCCCTGTGGTAGAACTGAGCCTTCTCGTTTTCACGCTTCCGGCTATGGGCACCTTACTCTGGGTCCTTGGCCTGCCAGACAGATGCAATGACGTCCCCATAGCCCTCTCACACTCCTCATGAGCACAGTCTCCCACGAGAAGGAAGGGACCCAGCTGACAGAGGATAGTTGTGTCAAGAACCGCCTCCTAGGTACATGTGGGGTTTGAGGCACTCACCTTGGTGCCCATCTAGACCACTCTGCTCCCCTGTGACCTTGTACTCTAGGAGATAGCCTTTCTTCAATAGGCATCAAAGTCCCTATGGCATTTAGTCCTCCCTCTAATCAGAGGTGGCACAAGGATGTGCCAACCCTGATTCTCCAAATGCCTGAATGTCTGCTCCCAGCCTGTCTGCCTATGTCTCTGTCCCAGAGGTTCCTGACCATCTCCCCTGTTTATTGGGTCTTAGGCTGCCATCTGAACCTTGTATCCTCTCTCTCCTCTTTCTTCAATGGGGAAAATACATGTAAGAACCCCAGGATTTTTTCCTTCAGGTTCTACATGACAACCAGGCTCCCCACAATGGCAAAGGGCAGCAAGTTGGAGACAGAGCATTCCGCTGTGGCTACAAGGGCTGTGGGCGTCTCTATACCACTGCCCATCACTTGAAGGTAAGATGGCTGGCAGGAAGCTCTCAGGTCTGCCCTCTTCTGGCCAAGCTGTTTCTCCCTTTCTGCTTTCCTTGGGCTGGCTCCTGCAATCAAAGTTGTGCCTCACCTGCTGAAAAGAAGAGAAACTTCAGCACCAGAGGCTGTGACTCATGCACATTGTAGGACAGAAGACAGTCCGGGGCCCTAAAGGAGAAGGAAAGAGCCCAGCTCAGACCCTTGTTCCTCTGAATTCTGATTATTTGTCCCCACAGGTGCATGAACGAGCACACACAGGTGACCGGCCATACAGGTGTGATTTCCCCAGCTGTGGAAAGGCCTTTGCCACAGGTAACCTGCCTGGAAGGAAACTCAGTATGGACAGCTTCTAATTGAGGGAAGAGGCTTCTAGATTCACGTGAGGGCCCTCTAGGAAGGAGAAATAGCTGTAAAATACCCTCTCCTGCAGGTGTTCCCTCTGAAGGAACCTCTCCTGTGGAGTGAAAGCTATAGAGGGAGCCAGGATAGACGTAGAAAGACCCTCTTCTAGACCTGCTCTGCCAGCTGCCAGCTATAGGCTGCCGGGGGACACTGTATCTCTGGGCTCCCCCTCCAGCCATAGATTCTCCAGGTTCCCTCTCATGCCCGCCTTCTGGAATGCCTCTAAGAGCTGGAAGCAGGCGCAGTGGTCTTTTCTACCCAGGCAGGGTGGGACATTGGCTGCTCTGAGCCTACAGAGCTTCCCAAACACAGAAGATGGAAAGCCTCCACATGAAGTATGTCACAGAGATCAAGGTTTCTGACAGTTCTCTTCACCCCACCACATGTGACAGGCTATGGGCTGAAGAGCCACGTTCGCACCCATACTGGTGAGAAGCCGTACAAGTGTCCAGAGGAGCTGTGTAGCAAGGCCTTCAAGACCTCGGGAGATCTGCAGAAGCATGTCCGGACCCACACTGGTAGGCTGGGCCCTGCCCGCCTTTCACACCTCCACCTGGAGCCTTGGTGCCATCCCTTCTTGCTGCAGCATGGCTACCCCTTCTGAGCTACCCCTCGCACCACCATCTGCACAGGTGAACGCCCGTTCCGGTGCCCTTTTGAGGGTTGTGGCCGCTCCTTCACCACGTCTAATATCCGCAAGGTACATGTGCGCACCCACACAGGCGAGCGGCCCTACACATGTCCCGAGCCCCACTGCGGCCGCGGCTTCACCAGTGCCACCAACTACAAGAACCACGTGCGCATCCACACAGGTGGGCCAGCTGGCATGCAAGGACCACCCCCTCTTGACACCCTGCCTCCCTCTATTGTAGGCTTCTGGGTTGAGACACTGTCCCAGCTCCTGGGCACTCCAGGCTAGTCTGAGGGTGGGTGTCCCCAGAATCACTTTCACTTGCAGTAAGCACCTCCCCTGTTTCCAGTTGGGTCTGGGCAGACAGGTATCACTTGCCTTCTGTGGGACACCTCAACTCCTCACCACCTGTGTCCCCCACTCCAAAATCTCCCCCTCCATCTGAGCTCCTGAAAAGAAGCCAGAATTGGAAATGGGGGAAGAAGTGGAGTGAACAACATACTCACCTCCTCACCTCATCCACTCCGCCTGTGACCACTCTCCCTCTCCAGGCCACGCCCCTTATTCAGTCTTCTGTGTCCTCTCTTAGTCATCTGGCCCCTTCACCCATCACACCTGGCATCAGCCTCTGACCTTCTCCCTTGTCACATTCTCAATCCACCTCAACTTTCCAAGCCCCAGTGACTTCACCCCTTCTCTAAACCATAACCCGGCCTTGATACTTCCCCCATTCTCTCTCAGCTCTTCTCTGGGCTCGGAGATCCCATGCCCATGTCCTGCCTGTCTTCCCCAACTGCCCATTCAGAGTCTCAGGTCTCAGTCCTTCTCCCTCCCTCTGGCTCTCTGAGCCAACCCTGCCCCCTACCCCTTCCCCTTAGTTTCCCCCTGCCAGCCCCAGTTCCCACCCCTCACAGCCCAGTGTCCCCAGGGGAGAAGCCATACGTTTGCACAGTGCCAGGCTGCGGGAAGCGTTTCACTGAGTACTCCAGCCTGTACAAGCACCACGTGGTCCACACGCACTGCAAGCCCTACACCTGCAGCACCTGTGGCAAGACCTACCGGCAGACTTCCACTTTGGCCATGCACAAGCGCAGTGCGCACGGAGAGCTGGAGGCCACCGAGGAGAGTGAGCAGGCCCTCTATGAGCAGCAGCAGCTTGAGGGTGAGGGAGGGGAGAGGCGGGAGCAGGCCAGGCCTCCCTGTGGCATCTGGTGGCAGGTAGCAGCCTGGTTCTCCTCTCCTAGCCGCCTCTGCAGCTGAGGAAAGCCCACCACCCAAACAAGCCCACATTGCTTACCTTTCGGAGGTGAAGGAAGAGGGTGATGACATCCCAGCCCAAGTGGCCATGGTGACAGAGGAGGATGGGGCCCCCCAGGTGGCTCTGATCACTCAGGATGGCGCCCAGCAGGTACAGCATTGGGGGGTGGGTGAGGCAGGCCACTCTGCCCGGGGATCCCCAAGTCCTGATGATCCACCTCCATTTAGATTCCCATTTTAGCTTTGCCCACCTGGGAGCTGAGGCTGAGGAAATCCTGGAACCCAGCCCCTGCCCCTTCTCTCGCTCCAGCTGTCTCCCCTCTTGGTGTACATTAATCTTTTCCCTCCGGGAGGTCTAGATATGCTTGTCATTTGAATGGGACACTTGGATGTCCTTCTCAAGAAGGGCTGTAGGTACAGGGGCCTGGAAGCTTGCCAACAGTGCTAGCCAGCATGCTAACCCTCGATGTAACCTGACTTTGTCCACACCCTCACTATCTAGTGCACCTCTGTCTTCTAGAGTTGTCAGGAGGGCAGAATTAGATGGAGACCTCAGAATGCATACAGTAAGCCACTAATAGTGCACCATTTTCTGCAACCTTAACTCTCTTCTGTTTGCCTGTCCCCTAGCCCTGTGCCTCTGTGACCTGAATCTAACCTTCTAGCTTACTGTAAGCAAAGCTTCTGATACCCAAAGGGCTTTCAAATAACCCTCCTATGGCAACCAACTCATCTTCTCCTCCTGTCGGCAGGTCAGCCTATCCCCAGAGGACCTGCAGGCCCTGGGGAATGCCATCAGTGTGGTGACCCAGCACAGCAGCAGCACCCTCACCATCCCCAGCCATGACAGTGACCTGGCCACATCAGGCACGCATACAGTCACCATGGTCAGCGCTGATGGCACCCAGACACAGCCCGTATGAAGCCTTTTACTTGGGGTTTCTTGTTCTCTCACCTTTCCATGGAGTGGACATTTGTATGAGGCTTGATTAGTCAAGTCTTTACACAGGACAGAGATTGCCCACCAGGAATTGTCTCCCCAGTTTCTCTAGGTCCTCAGAAACTTTCATCTTTTCAAACCTGTAATCTTACCTACTCAGGAGGCTAAGATCTGAAAGATTGCAGTTCAAATCTCTGAGATTCCATCCCTAAAATAAAAAGCAGGGCTGGAGGCCTGGCTCAACTGGTGGAACACCAGCCTAGCAGGCACAGAGTCCTGAGTTCAAACCTTTGTACTGCTAGAAAAAGCTTTTGACTAGGGACCAGAGACAGTTTCTACATCTCAGGCTGCCCCCATTTGCTTTGCCACCAGAAGCACACTCCTTTTCCAGATTTTAAGATCCATTTTCAACTGAGTGATTAAAATACACTGGACTAGTGCTTATCTAACATGCTTGAAGTCCTGGGTTCAATTCCTCAGTACAACATCAGCAGAAAAAGCCAGAAGTGGCACTGTGGCTCAAGTGGTAGAGTGCTAACCTTGAGTGAAAGAAGCTCAGGGACAGTGCCCAGGCCCTGAGTTCAAACCCCAGGACTGGCCAAAAAGAAAGGAATGTAACAGATTCCTTGGAGATCAGTATAAGAAAATGAATCATAGCCGGGTGCTGGTGGCTCACACCTGTAATCCTAGCTATCAGGAGGCTGAGATCTGAGGATCGTGGTTCAAAGCCAGCCCGGGCAGGAGAGACTGTGAGACTCCTATCTCCAATAAACCACCAGAAAA